CTGCGCCACCAATCAATTAATTGAGTTCAAAATAATTGCAATTAATTGCCCCTACAATCAATTATTCGGTAGGCCTGGTTGATATATATGAGGGAATTTTGATATATAAAAATTTATAAAATTTTGTTTTGTGGCTTAGGTTAATATTAACGAGGTTGATATTAACGGGGTAATCTGTATAATTAATTATTAAAATGTTTTTAAAGCTAATATACTGTTATTAGACAAAATTTAAAGTATTGATTAGAAGTATTAAGACTTGTAATTTATTGATATTTTTAAAAAATTTTCGAATTTGTATATAATTAATTTATGTATTTTTATATTCGTTAAATCATATTAAATTATTATATTTTTAAATATTTATATATATAGATATCAATGAGAATTCTAATGTATTTTAATACAATATTTTTTATTCATTTTATTTATTATGTGTATAATATAAGGGATGTAAAATAATGTATTCCAAAAATAAATATAGTATTAAAAATCTTAATCGCATTTAATATCTAAAATTTAAGATGAAATAGGAATATATTAAGATGCCTATTTTTACTGCTGATAGTATCACAGTAGTGTTGAAGTACAGAAGTAATATAATTTACATTTCTATCTGGCACATCCAAGAGATATATTGAGTGAGACGAAAAAAAGTCAGGCCGATTAATGTCTCTTTCCCCTTTCGGTTCAATATTATTTTAATAAAGGTTCAAAAAAGTCAGCGTGATATTCTTATAAAGATAAACTGCTAATGTATTGTTCTAAATTATTGTAATTAAGGTTCAAGTAGTTAGCGTAGTGTTCTTGAATAGTGTATTAGCAAATACATTTTTAACTTTAGGTCTATAAAATTACAATTAAGCTCTAAAAAAGTCAGGGTGGTATTTTTGCAAGAGCATCTGCCAATACTTCGTTTCCTTCTGATCCATGCTTATTTTTCTAAAACCAAAAAAAAGTCAGTATGATGTTCTTGTGAAATGTAAGTTCCAAACAAGCCAGCATTGTGTTTTTGCAAAGAGAATTTATTAATGATTCTCCTCCAACTGATCCAAGATTATTACCTCTGAGCACAAAGAAGTAAGTATAGTATTCTTGTAGAGTGCAACTGTTAATATCTTTCCTCCTGATTCGATATTTTTGTTCCAAAATCTAAAAAACCAGATGTGAAATTCTTACAAGATGCATATGTAATGCTTTAATCATGTAATTAAGAAGTTAGCATTCACGTAAAGTACCTCTACTAATGCTGTGATGCCTACTCTCTTCTGATCCATGATGATTTAAAAAAAATTATCGCTTACAAGTGGAATACTACATATAGTACAGTATATAGTAAGGAAATCACAATGCTGCAATACTACGAAAGTACAGAAATACATCAAACTGTTTGATACTTTGGACCAATCATTTGCATTCTCTTAATTCGTTTCTGGAATATTCAGATCGGTATCTGCCTACTATAATAGGAATAATTTTCATTGCCTATTTTTGGTAAATCGTCAAACTGTAGTTGTCATCATCCTTTTGAGCAAAAATAGCACCTAAACCTTGATATGAAGTATCAGTATAAAGAATAAAAGGGTTTGTAAAATTAGAGTATTGAAGAATAGGTGCAGTTGTCAATTTTTCCTTAAGAATATCTATTGCTTGTTGGCAAGTTTTAGTCTAAACAAAAGAAGTATTCTTTTTTAACAACTTGTTTAAAGGTTCAACAATTTGTGAAAAATTTAAAATAAACTTTCAGTAATAAGAAGCTAGACCAATAAATCTACGAAGTTCAGTAAAATTATAGGGTACAGGATAGTTTTGAACTTTATCAATTTTCGATAGATCAGAAGCAACACCATTTCTACTAATAATATGTCCTAAAAAGACTAATTGTTGTTTTTCAAAACAATATTTATCCTTTTCTAATTTTAGCCCAGCCTTTTGAAGACGTTTAAAAACTTCCTTAAGATGCTTCAAATGCTTCTCAAAAGTTTTTAAATAGATAGTAATATCATCAAGATATACTAAAATAAATTTGTTTTTAAGATTAGAAAAGATTTTATTTATAACTCGTTGAAAAGTAGCAGGTATATTTGTTAAACCAAAAGGTATAACATTAAATTTAAACAACCTATATTTGGTAATAAAGGCAGTTTTTTCACAATCCTCAGGCTTCATTTCAATTTGCCAATATCTACTAGCCAAGTCAAGAGTAGTGAACCATTTAGCACCTTTAAGAGTATCCAGAATTTCATCAATTCGTGATAAAGGATAAACATCACATTTGGTAATTTTGTTAAGCTTCCTGTAGTCAATACAGAGCCTTAATTTACCATTTTTCTTTTTCACTAAAACAACAGAAGAGATCTATAGGCTTTTTGATAGAGATATAAGCCCATTTTCAAGCATTAAAGAGAGTTCCTGTTAAATAAATTCATGTTCAGCTAGTGATATACGGTAGGCTTTTTGATAAATAGGTAGAACATTTTCAGTAATAATTTGATGTTGGTCCATAGTTGTTTTGCCTAAATCATTCATTTCCTTAAAGAATATATAGTTATTTTCAGTTAAGAATTGTTGTAATTGTAAATTATTTTTAAAAGACAAATTTGTTTCCTCAAAGTCCTCCTTAGTAGTAAAACAACTTATTGCTTCTCTCACTTGTATATATTTTGAACATGTTTTTTGTGGCTAAGCACAATAATATTTAATAGTTCGAGGATCACTAGCTTGTTCAGAATGAAAGTTATAGTTATCAAAAGATTCATTTTGGTATTTAACTTGGGTATTATTGATTTCAAGTATAGGTTTTTCATCAGAATTTCCTATAATTAAAAATCCTCCAGTTTATTATCAGATGATTCATATTCATCTTTACTATATTTATTAGTTTTAACAACTAAAGTTTGATTATTTGAGTCATTAGACTCAGAGAGAATTTTTAAAGAAATAGACCTACTATTATTATATTGTAGCTTTTCCCAACAGGTAATAGATAAAATATAAGATTTGTTTTCCCAAGTAAATTTAAATTGTCCTTTTTTCAAATCAATAATACCCTGTATTTTGTTAAGCCAATTGACTCTAGCAATTATAGTATAATCTTGGGTATCATTTATTTCTACATTAATAGGAATAGTAATATCAGATAATTGAAGGGATATATTATTAATAATCTCCAGTGATCATTTTTTCCACCATTAATATCAGAAAAATAAAGATTAGATGGTTTTTCAATAAACCGATTTAACTTGTCAGCAAAAGCTTTTGATATTACTCTTGTAAGTGATCCTGTATCTAGAATTAAATAAAACGGAGTTTTATCAATACTGGCATTACAGTAAGCTATATCTACAGCTTCCTTGAGTTTTGGTTGTTCATTAGTAGAAATTAGTGAGAATGCTAATTTAAACTGATTTTGATTATTAATAAAATTAGAATTATTGTCCTTTAAGATATATGATTGATTATTATTATAATTATGTAATAAAGAAGTAGATTTAGAAGAAGAGATTGATTGATAGGCACTACTGCCCCCCACAGTGTGCCTTTAGGAGTTTAAAGACTGTGCTAAGTTTTGAACAAAGTTTTGTAACTCCTTAGCAGAAAGTTTATTTGAAGATGAAAAAGTTTGAGATTGTGATTAGAAATTATTTCTTGGTGGTTGGTAATTATTATTGTTGGTTTGGTTATTATTATATTGAAAGTTTCCTTTTCTTTGATTATTATTGCCAAAATTGTTATGATTATTTTTTTGATAGCAATCACGTGTATTATAGCCTCATTTATTGCAAATTTGACAAACAATAGTATTTCGTTGAGAAGAACTATTATTTTGATTATTGTTATTGTTATTATGATAGTTATTATTGTTATTATTTCAGAAAGTATTTGATTTTTGCTGAGGTTGTTGTTTAAAATAATTTAAGATAGCTTGAATAGCCTGAGAAACCTTATTATTAAGCTGATTATTAATAGAAATAGTACTACTTAGTCTATCAATAAATTGACGTAGTTTATCCTCTAATAGATATCGATTATTTGAATCAACTTTTTGATATAGATGTTTCAATTCAGCATAATAATTCTCAATAGTTTCACCAGGTTGTTGAACTCGAGATCGGAGATCAGAAAGCTATTGAGATTTTTGATAGGTAGTACAGAATTGAAGTTGAAATAAATAAACAAAAAATTAAGCTGGCCTTAGATCATTCTTCTAAAACTGAATCCTATTAGCAACAGTCCTCTACCAAACTGTGCTGATCCTTTTAGATAAGCAGAAATAATAATTAATATTCGAGCCTTCTAAATATTGTAACAGAACATGCAGTTGCAAATTTATTTAGCCAATATACAGGATCCTGTTCCCCTTCTTCAAAGACAGGAATTTGGACAAGAAAAGATTCCTTAGAGAAATGTGATTGTCCTTTTTCTATAGCTTTAACTAAACAGTTAAAGTGATATAGAAGTTGTTAAACTTGAGGATCATCAGGTATTGTTTCCTCAGGCAGATCTTTAAAATTGAAAGGAAATGAGTCATCCAACTTAATAGATGATTGTTTATTCTTATTAGCTGATGATGAACTCATTAGGAGAATATTTGTAGAAGTTGAAGCTAAAGGCATAGAAGGTAGATTTGAAATAGGTGAATTGTGAGGTAATATTGGAGAAGATTGCTGTATTGGTGAGTATATATAGGGAGTTGGCACAAACTGAATACCAGCTTCTATATCCTGATTATTAGGCAAAAGATCATTAAAAGAATGACTATTGTTAATATAAAGATTATCAAAACTATTATCATTGTTTATTATATTATTATTATTCATTATATAGTCATATTGCAATATTGATTAATAGCACTTTTCTATAAATTATGAAGATTATCCATGTTGTTATTTTGATAATTATCAATTAGTTGTTCCTGAGACCTAGAATTTGAAATAATAGAAGAAGAAGAACAACAAAAAGAAGAAACAGAAAGAGAAGAAGAAGAAGAAGAAAATAAAGCTAATGGTTCTTTTGTTTGTGCAAAAGAATAATCTGGTTCCCAAAATATTGCAATTCGAGGTAGAGCTATGCTTATATATACTAAATATTTTTCTTAAATTGGAAAGATAGGTCCTGTCGTCATCACCAAATTGTAATAAAATTTACTAAAAAACTAGCAAGCTGTAGCAAATTTTAAAAAGACACGAGTATCAAGTAGACAATCTTTTATTTAAAGAAAATAAAAAGAAAGAATAGAAAAGAAAAATATAAAACAGGATTTAAATTTAATAGTCTTCTAGATACTATAAAGCAGTGTTGTACATTTTGACTATCCAAAGACTTTTTTGATACTGTCCAACATCCAAGTGTCCAAGTGTCCACAAGTGTCCAAAGCATGTCCAAGCTTTAATAATTAATAAATTTGTTTAAAAAATATA